GAGAGAGCGATCTTCAAGGGTGCATTCTATCTTTTGTTGAAGGAATATCACGACGTGGTGCTAGATATCCCACCACGCATGTTATCTTTGGATAGGGAAACGCGTAACGAAATTGACTTAGTCCCCGTATTATGCCACACGGCAATAGCCCTTAACAAGGGACACTGTATTTTCGCGGGCAATTTCTTTCGCGCGAAGCTGACCTAAGGCTTGCTGTATTACAGCACTGACCAACAAGGCACTTAGCTTGGAGTGATATCCCACGATACTGTAAGGGGCACAGAAAACCCGTCTGGGTAGCCATCTCGAAAGAGGAGATACATACTGCACGGCGAATGCCGGGGAATATTGGTCCCATAACACGTTTATTTGACTGAGTACATATGTGCAAGCGTGTGATACGTATCAAGAAGTTGTATCCGCAGAGCATTTGGTCATGCCTTTGACCAGTCTACAGGCTTGGCAGAGTGCTGGAAGTCCATCAATTTGAGCATTCCATTATGGCCGTCCAAAAACCACATTCGGTAATTCCAGTGGTGTGGTCCTTGTGGACCGGCTGAGCAAGGTCAGCAATGATGTGAAAGGTGAGAATACAGCCGATCTACCGCTCGAAAAAGTGTTCTGTCATCAATTCGGTCAAATGATCTCGTTTATAACAACGCTTGCGAGTATAAATCACGCTACTCGCTCATATATCAGCTGCTGACCATTCGCAATTAGACGGTTAGGCGGCACTTGCGAATTGCATTTGATCGATGAGTTTGAGATGCTGAAGGGAGTTGCACTCCCTTTTATTTTGAGCTTATCATATTAAAAAAATGAGCTCATCTTACGTACTGAGCTGTCAAGCCACATGTCCGCTCTTACGAGCTGGTCTGATGAAATGTGATCTGTTGCAGACAACACAGCGTCCCCACTATGAGAGCCGATATGCAATCGCTCTTTTTTGCCTCATCCCGACCGCAGTCCACTTCCGCTTCTGCCTTCCATGATCTGTTCAAGACACCTAGCAATACCCTTGCTATCAGATTCAGAAAATTCCATGTCCTGCACAAAAGATACCGTTTCCATGTGGTCGTGCCAAACGGGTGTACGCTTCCTGGCAGAGGCGTATGTCTTCTTGACTCACCAAAGTCCCTTAAGTAGAGAAGTTCTTGGCACCTACATTTATTGACTTCCAGCCAATCTATGACTCGTGGCCTACCAGTCTCGCCATACCGAAGAAAAATTCATTATGAAATCCAGAAGTAATGTTTCACGCTGTCAATGTACTGATGTGGGCGTCAACATATCCCGTCGCAGGACGTTCGAATATTCTAGCCGTATCTGGTTTCTTCAACATATCCGCGTACCATCTTTAATTTTTAGCAAGTGCGCGTCATACAAAATTGCACGAGGCTCCACATTCTATCAATACTTTGTACGGCTTTGCAAAGCCCAGACACTGATTTTGATATCTTACAATCCGCGCTATGAGCCTCACCCATCTTGAATAGATTTATTTTTAAGGCCAAATACCGTTTTATTCAACCCCCAGGATCTATCGTGGAGCTTAGTTCGCTTTGACATGCACCTACAGGACCCGATGTTTTCTACGAGAAATTTTTTGGACGACCTTGCGAGTGATTCCGACCTTTGATCCCTATTAGCCAAAAGAGACGTGGTACAAAAGGGAATGATGTTCTGTATCAGCACAAATTAAACATCTGCGAGCACCGTAGAGCTGCTAGGCAGCTAAGCAATATCTATTTCTCTTTAGCATGGACTCTGGCGTGCGTTTTATTTTGCGGCACGATTCCTATCCTCTGTTTTCGTAGCAAATGCCTCCGCTCTTTGGACAGCTGAATGGTGGACGTAGTAAGTCTCAATGCGCGCCGCTAATGTTTGGAAACCCTCCATTAAGATGGTAAGTGTCACCGCCAGCAGCGATACGAGCTCGAAATTGCTGAACACAGTCTACATTTTCCCACCCGTTTTGATGACCAAGAGCTTCGAACACACCCGATACACCTAGATATGCTGAAGGATATCTGCGATATATATTGCGTAAAATCTTACCATGCTGGGGAATACCGTATTTGAGCTATACTGCACATGAGGCCTGCGACCTCTTAACCGGAAACTAGTACGCGCGACGCACTGTTGCTTAGACTACAGCATGATTGCCTTCATCTGGCCTCATACGATTCATATCCCTGCCCTCAATATGCTGATACTTAACATTACCGGCGATCCATCTGAGACCCACCGACGGTCAGTTGTTATGTTCTGTAAGGTGACTCGTCAGCGCATTCTCATGGTCGCTAATCGCTTTCAGGTGAGCAATTACCACATGTAACCTTAATTATGCCAGTCCCTTTCGAGATCATCACAAAAGCCATCCAAACGTGTCGAAGACAGACTCAGAACGTCTCATATCCCATCATAATAAATGTTATCTTTCACGACTCAGTCGTGGGATTGACTACGTAATACACCAAAGTGCAACGAGGTGCCGTACACTTTGTGTATGAGAAACGGCTCAAACAAGCATACATAGTTTGGGTTCGTGATCTCATACTAGAAGCGAAACCGAGAGTCTTAACCGTGTCAATGTGATTAGTCAGCTCGTCTTTTCAAGTGTACATAAGTTAAAACTAATGCTACAGTAAATATATGATTTTTCCAAATCTAATAAAACTTTATTGCTTGATGTGTGGTTAATGGCCCACTTGTACTACGGTCGTCGCTTTTGCTGAGTCAAATCACCTTTATAAAAACCGATACTTCGTTACCTCAGAGCATTTACGGTTACACAAAAGTGTAATGTGAATTTCGTGCAATAGTACAATTTCATATTTGCGCATTTGAACGGACGTGTAAGGTGTATGACCCGTATCAACTTCCCTCAGTCCAAGGGTCAAACGCTCTTGCAGGATATGGCTCGTATCCCGTTTCATGAACGATAATGAAGTACCATAATAAAGTATCATTATAAGTGCTGATTTCTAGTAACACTAATAATATGTTTACTACTCCTATTAACATTATAATTAATATTATTGAAAATAGTAAGCAAACGCAAATATAAGATCAAATTTGTCTGAATAGGCACTTAGTTCAAAATAGTGTAGATATACCTGAGAGGCTCCCCGTTTGGCTTCCTAGACATGGCTGTTGAGCACATCCTCTTCACACTGGTCGGTGCGGACTTAACAGTTCAAAGCCATTGCTGTGCAAAGTGTGCGGTACAAACGTTTAGTACGGTAAGAAAATAAAGTTTAGCTTGTCCATAAACATCAGGATCGGAAAGTGTGCAAGCACTGCACGAAGTGGAGCTGATGGATAGCCTATGGACGATTTCTGTGCCATTCCGGCGTGGTACGTATAGTTAATCTCATTTGATAGTTGCACTGCCAATCAATGAGATTTTAAAAATTTGACCACAATCTTTTCAAAAGCTCTATTCGATCATACTTCGTTAAATTAGTACTCAGCCGTTCACATCGGAATCATTGACACAAAAAAAATGTATTGGCAAGCTACCAATAATAGCATACACTTTGTCCATTGTTTTTGTCGATGTGATATCTTGCGACGATTCATTTTGAGCGACTGTCAGCGGAGTCTTAAGTTTAGCGTTGGGTAGGACAAGAATATCTAAGATCGTTCCGAAGAGGTTGCGCCTGTCGCAAAGAGTAGCTGCGTAAAAATCCCGTGTATATTTGTTTGCATGTGCAAAAAGACGTCAATAAGAGCCATGGTTTGATGCGGCCCATGTCCGCAGTACTAAGGGCTAGTCAGGAGGAGGCTTCGGGAGCGGAGATGCGTCGACTGATGGAATACAAAGATTGCATCAGAGTGTTGAGGCTCTTAAAAACGAGATGACAAAGCGCAAGAGCCTCTATCCTCCCAACTTTTATGCTGCCACATTGTTCAATATCAATTTAATGCGAGCATCGAAAAATGAGGCGAATTCTCTCAGATGCAGCAGTGAAATCCAACAACAAATAATGAAGCATGTTTGGTTGAGCTCGAATATCAACCAGAGCGTTGCGATGTTTTGCGCAGTTTCTTGACGGTTTCTGCATAAAAATACAGCACAAGTCTCAATGAATGAATAGTATCTAAAAACTTGTTGTCCTCTTGACTTGACAATTCCGGTTCGAAAAGATTTGCCTGAACATGAAGGTACGCTTGAGTTAGATTAATTCTCAGCCCTAAAAGACGTTGCTGCTGCTGTTAATGAAGTAGGAAAATCAGTCATCCATGGTATCAGAAGGTGGGCCATATGTTTTCAGAGCCTGGGGCTTTTTAAGCGCTCGATGCAGCAAAAATTGTATATAGACATGGCACAGTAATGTCGCGACGATAAATTGATTGGTAAATGTATATGAGCGAATGGCGTAACATCCCTCATCTGATCTTGCGGCAATGCGATAGTGTCGCCTTATCTGTCCTTGCACACGTCAATACTGATCTTAGTGTGGTGTAAATTAAACTAATACGACTCTCAGCGTGCGTTTACATAATACCGCTATTGGATATGGTGGCAAAGTAAATCAAAGCTTGAAAGAACAAGACGACTTTCACGTACTGATATCGCAAATAGTGTTGGCGATCAGTATGTCAAGATCAAAAGCTTGGATGCACGACTCTGCTTCAATGTCTGACGTCACATCGAGATGCTTCAAGTATCAAATAGATAGTACACTTTCAAACGGCGACAAGTTTTTGATAAACAACATCTCAGCTTGTCACATCCTTGCAGATCTTAAACCACAGGTGCGAGATGCGAGGTGCGAGGATACCTACTGACGATAGTACCACATCCCAGATGCCCCACCAGATGCTGGTTGTCATGCGTTGTGCATGCGTGCGTGCGTCCCAAATGGATAGCGATCGAGAACAGGCGACACGACAGGCATGGGATTACGAAGAACTAAAAACATGAAACGTTTAAATTAAATATAAATTCTACGTTGGCGGGGAATACATCTCCGCAAACTAGCCTCACAGCGTTATGTCTGTCTGAACGCGAGGCTTAAATACTTGATGGCCTTCATATCTGTCGTCCCTGCTGACCGCTCACCGCTTCTTTAAGCTAAAAGAAAAGACTTCATTTTCTGGTATGGTGCCAAGGCGCCCAAAATGCGTCTTACGGCTGTTAACCCAGCGATTTGTGGCACGCGGCGCAAGTAGTGGTAGCATGCTGGCGCCAAAATCATCTTTATCGAGATCGTCCCATCCACGCGCCAGCTTGTAGACAAGAACAAGAAGAACGGAGATAACAAAGACTGTGCCGGCCAGAACCATCATTTCCATCTCGCTCACGTCACGTCCGAACGCGTTCGAACTGCCGAACACGACGATCATGCTATTTAAAACGAAAGCAACTGTTTTTTGTAGAGCACTTTGTTGTCAAAAATCTGCCAGGGATTTTAAGCAGCGACCTTGTGAGCTGGGACGTCGTTGCTGAGCTAATCGTCCTTGGCTTTGCGCCGACTCCAATTCAATAATGAAGGCATTGTTAACAGCTCAACTCAAGGAAAATAACTTAGCCAATCGCTGAGCGGCATTCTGAGAGTAAATTACCGTAGCCGCAAGGTTGCAGGGTACGAACGACGAGAATAGGGAATATTCGCGTAAACATCTCGCAGGTCAGCACTGTGGCAGAAAGGACGAGCCTAAAATACATGTACTGTACTGACTACATTTCATGAAACAGCACATACCAAGTGTTCAAGAGTGATGAAGAACAAGGAAACTTTGGTAGCATGTTTTGTTAGCAATTTGGAAGTTCGTTGTTCAATATGTCACTTATTCTACGTTGCGATTTTAACCTTTTTTATTGGAGTACACAACATTACTAACAATGGACGTAGAAATTAGGACTGATGTTATCAGTGAAAAGTCGAATAAATTTAAGCATGACAGGATTTTTAGGCGGGGTATAATGAAGTCCTGCTTTTATGTAATGCTCGCGAATCGTCAGAATTTTAATGTTTCATAATACATTTGCGATCAAGGTAGAGCCATCTTGAGCCTGCTGGCCAAAAAATCACTCGCCAGATTGAGTTCAGCAAGTCGGATTTTTAAACTAATTGAAATGTTAATTTCAGATCATCCAAATGGAGCCGACTGCCGTATAAGTCGGATTCAGTGAGATGTTAATTCTGCGAATCTCGCAATTTTCATTACTTGAAAGTGCGTTTTTTTCATCACGTCGAACGATACGTCAATCTGACTTCACCCTGTTATCTTTTTACAACTAATGCACTTGAAGCCTATCTGCCTGGCCTTGTAGTCAGTCGCCTTAGATAACTAGCTGTTATAACTCGACAAACGCATCACTGAACAATTTCTTACGCTCAAGAACGACGTCGAGTTTCAACTCTCTAAGCATCATTTTTAATTTGGCAAACCCTCCAATTTTGTTGACAAACTCTGTACCCCAACTTACTAAAGTCACCCTCTGCGTTTGCCACGAAAATCTCACTGTCCATGAGTTGATCTTTATTCATCTCATCATCCTGCCCCTCCTCCCTTGATGCATTGCATTCTATTTGTTCGAAGTATCCTCCTCCTTATCATCATCAGCAAAACCAGTGCCGCCATCAATATAGTTAGCAGCAGCATTATCATATACCCATCATCTTTCACGACAAATGAAGATCATCATCATATTCATTTGTAAGCAGACCTACGACTCGCAAGTACATTCTTAACTGATCATCATTTCAGCATACTGAGATTTTTTTTCATAGATGAGACTCGATATGTTTGACTTGGTGAAAGTGATATTCTATTTCAGCCTTGTAGTCAGAGGCTAGTGCCTATGAGAGTATCACAACAAGATCAAATAAAGAATTTTGCTATTGATTAAGTGGCCTATGCTATGGTCTGTACCGCCTTATCGCACTCTTTGTTAACAAGGTAATGATCACGTAAATAAACCATCTGAGTATATTATCAACTTCATAATCAGAATCTCGATGTGAAAGGTTAATCGTGTAGAATAGCCAGCGATTGCTTAGTACGACAGTTCGACACTGATATTAGTATTATTAAGGCAACAAACTAGTGGTCTGCTGTATAAATCAACCACGGACTCATACAAAATTTCATGTCTTTGATGCCGAACATGCCGAAAATCAATAATCTCCACTTAAGCTCTCGAGTACTTCTCCCGTTTCGAATCAATTTGA